GGAGAGCAAAAAGGGTCACATAACAATGTATGTATAAATTTCTGTATGAGAGACTAACTTGAATTGTAAACTTTCACTTAAAGTACAACAATAAAATAAAAACTAAAGTGTCAAGTAAGAAACAAAAGAATGATTCCCATACTGTTAAAACTCTATGTACATATATGGATACACACATTTATATAAGCATGGAAAAAAATCTAAGATATAAAAACCTAACAGTGGTTATCTTTGTAGGTAAGATTCGAGTGAAGAGGTGAACTTACTTTCTTAATGTCACCCACTTCTTGACTGTTTGAATTTAAGGGCATGCATACCTTTGTAATTAAAAAATATGTTTAAAAACTATAAAAGACAAACTAAAATAAAAATAGGAGAAAAAAAAGAGGCACATATAGCATTTTCTTAGGAAACTAAGGATATGATTCCTAAATTCCCTTTTAGCTTGTCATTATCTAATATATAATACACACGTGCATTAGATTATATAGACTATACTGATCCTATACATATATATGTCCGCATGTGTGTATGTTGAATCAGAAACCAGATCATTTTAGATTAATTTTAATCTATTTTTTATTTGAAAAACAGGGAGGTAAATAATTAGAGTAATAAAATTCCTCTCCTTCTCCAGCTCAAGCAAGCAAATCAGTTAAGCCCAGGTGAAGCCCTGAGGTACTAGGGACAATTCAGCCATCAGTCTGTAGATAGGCTAGTCTATCAGTGAGTCAGATTTTGTACACGAATGTATTATATATGAAATCCCTTTTACTTAGGAAAAAAATGTTTGGCATTGACTAGCATAGCAAATATATCGGGAACCTGAGTGGAAGCGATTAACGTGAATTATACTTCTCACATGCTATGTAAATACAGTGTCATGTCTTTAAAATCACAAAAGAGTGAAAAGAATGACATTACTATCAACATTATGGGCATTCTCAAAACAGAGTAAGCCTTTAAAAAAGTACAAAATACAGGCCGTTATTCTCAAGTTAAAAGCCACTAAATCTATGGGCATTCTCAAAACAGAGTAAGCCTTTAAAAAAGTACAAAATACAGGCCGTTATTCTCAAGTTAAAAGCCACTAAATCAGCCTTCCTACATTTTAATTATATGCAAACAAACTCACTTCATGGTCTGAAGAAAGAGCTACCTGTAACACTTGTGCACTTTGTGGTACAAAGGAACTATACCCAACTATATCATGCCAATAGGCATCCCTGGGTGGCACAAACAGTTAAGCACTTGGCTGCTAACCAAAAGGTTGGTGGTTCAAGTCCACCTAGAGGTGCCTCGGAAGAAAGGCCTGGCTATCTACTCCCAAAAATCAGCCATTGAAAACCCTATGGAGCACTGTTCTACTCTGACACACATGGGGTCACCATGAGTTGGAATCTACTCAAGGGTAACTGGATTATCATGCCAACAGATGTTTCTAATCGTTTTCAGACTTTCATTGATCCCATGTTGGTCTTACCTATACTGATGGTCCTGTTGGGGCAGGCAGAGCTGCACTCTGCATAAATCTTCCACTGTGAGAAGGCACTCGCATCTCTTATTTCACCCTTTCAACTCCTATTTCCCATTTTACATATTATCAATCCCTTACCCTAGGACAATTCTCCTTTCCTCCCTTCTTTCACTCACCTCCCACCCCATTCTACCCAAAGAAACAGAATTTGATTTTGAATAATTAGAAATAGTGGCAACAAGGAGATGAACTAAGGACCAGAGAAACTGGACAAGGGTAAGAATAGTGTACACGGACGGCCCTAATTCCCTTGGAAAACTCCATGGCTCGGCTTCAGACATGCAATAAACATTTACCAGTTGATGTTCTGAACTGGCCTTCAACATCTGCCTGATTTCCATGTTGTCTTCCTCAGCAATGGCAATTAACTCAAAGTTAGTATTGAGTTAAAATTACTTTGAAGTGAACTACAAAATGCAGAATTGGCACCTCTCAGATTACCACTTTTCTACCACAGCGGGGGTGGGAGGGCAGTGAAATGAGAAAAAAGGCTCCACCATAAGGAATGAATAGGTAAAGGAAAACAGAGACACTGGGTCGCTTAAAATAACACAGGAGCTGTTTCTGTCAGGAATAACATGTTACATAATTTGAGTTTCATGAATCAGCAGTTCAGTCAGTAATTTACATGGATTTAAAAGACAGAGAAAACAGGAGGACTGCATGAAACAGGTAAAGAGGTTCCTCAAACAAGGCAGGTTTCAAAAGTTATTTTATTCCACCCCCTCACAGAAGAACGTTGACAGGCAGATGACTCAGTCTGGCTTCATCAAGGGTTTTTTACCCCTATGGAGCCATGGTGGCACAATGGTTAAGAGCTACAGCTGCTAACCAAAAGGTGAGCAGTTCAAATCCATCAGCCACTCCTTGGAAACCATATGGGGCAGTTCTACTCTGTCCTACAGTGTTGCTATGGGCTGGAATCGCCATGACAGCGCCGGATTTTTTTGGAATATCCCTTGTGGGAAAGGCTGACCTATCTCTCCTTTCTCCCTGATAGCCCTTCTCAATTCTGCCCACCAGGTAATGGCCATATTTTTCTCTCTAGCTGAAGGTTATCCATCTGGAGACCACTGCACATACTTTACGATACAGAGGGTTATGCTTGAAAGATATAAAATAAGGTTTTTTTTAAAAAAAGACCCTTTATACTAACGTGATTACAACATTACAAAAAACACAGTAATGTCAGACGCTTCAAAAAAAATCACAATACCTATGGTCATTGTGGTTGAACTTGATCATAAATGTAAGCAGTTTAATTGAGTTCACTCACATTGAAAACCTGCAGTGATCTGCAGTCCTTAAAATTGACAGTAACAAAGCAAGGAGACGCAAGAAAGCTGTCAACACAAACACTAAACCCCCATGTCCAATCTAATGTCTTTCAAAATCAGAGAAGAAAGGTCAGATGTTTGAGAGGGAAAAAAAATCAGCAACCTACAGTATTTGCGTTTTCAAAAACCAGAGATGACAAATCCTAAGAAATGAATCCAAAGGATATTCCCAACTCCTTTTGTAGATAATTTGTTTTATCAGATACTGTTGAAATAAGAGGGCAATTGGATTAGGCCTGGAAATATCTTAGGTATAAATCAATTATGATGGTATTTTGAGAGGCATAATGTTGAAAGGAAACCCTGTGGCATAGTGGTTAAGTGCTATGGCTGCTAACCAAAGGGTCGGCAGTTCAAATCCACAAGGCGCTCCTTGAAAACTCCACGCAGCAGTTCTACTCTGTCCTATAGGGTAGCTATGAGTTGGAATTGACTCGACAGCAATGGGTTTATAACGTTTTGAAAAGGTCCCTGGGTGCCACAAACAATTTGTGCTTCGCTACTAACCGAAAGGTTGGCGGTTCAAACCCACCCAGTGCCATAGAAAAAAGGCCTGGCAATCTGCTTCCATAAAGATTATAGCTAAAAAAAAAACCCTATGGAGTGCAGTTCTACTCTGTAACACATGGGGTCACCATGAGTTGGAATTGATTCTGCGGTAATGGACTTAATATTTTGAAAGAGCAAGTAATGTGAAGTCATTTGGAGCCATTCACTCCACAAATACTTATTACAAGTCTCCCCTGTCAGCCCACAGCTCTCAGTTCAAGCTCTGCCTCTTACTGTGCAATCTTGGCTACATCTCTTAATGTTTCTAGGCCTCAGTTTCCTCAACCGTAAAAACAGTAACAAAAATGACTACCAACCTCCTCACAAGGTCTCTGAGGAGCAAATGAGCATGTCTAGAAGTCCTTCATAAACCATGAAAGTGTTAATTATCATTTGGTTAATGAATTCATGAATGACACTAGTCTCTTGCGCCATAAATTATGTCAGAGGAAAGTGAGCCTTCCTGCTGCCACAGGGATAGCTCATAATCCTTTGAAATAAGCTTTATAGTCTCATCTACTCACCTCCCTGGAAACTTAAAGATATGGCAGAGAGAGAGAGAATAAGGTAATAAATATATCATGCAGATTTTGACACTAGATTCATAATCACCAGTATGACAAGAACCAAATCTAGCTTATTCACCATTTTAGGTCTCTACAAATCTGGCCATTAGGCCAAGGTGCTCATTTGAAGAGGGCACTGTATTCTTGAAAAGTATTCTCTCTCTGTATGGGCAAATTACAAAATGGACACCTGCAAAGCTTACCCATCAACTCAATGATACCAACAACAAATGGCAGTACAAAAGCATTATGTTATGTTGACAAGCACAAACAAAAATGCTCTATTTAAAGTACATTTCAAGTTCAATCTGACTCTCAAATCTAAACTGTGTCATATCAATTGTCAAATAAATTAGGAACAAACCTTCTTTTAAAAACAAGATTAGGCTCCATGCAGTGCAGTTGAAGAAAGAGGGAAGTTGTGGTCTCTCCAGAGTTAGCTGACAGGCACGTGTGGGATGAAGGAGACCATCTTACAGAAGCCCCTGAGGATCTGACCAAGATCTACAAGGAACAGGTCGCATTCCAGGAGATGCAGACTCCCTTCCCCCAGGGAGTGGAAGGGTTGCGGCTGGTCTTACAGGATTGGTAGCCAGTAGGCACAACGAGTCTTAAAATACACCGGAAACTTGCTCAAATGTTTCTAGTCTTGCAATGGCATTTGGAGAGCTCAAGTACGCACGCAAACTCTTCCTTGCTAGAACCGCTATAATTTAATATTTATGAAGCACTTAGAAAAGAGCCAAACATACAGTAAGCGCTGTTGATGTGTTTGTTAAATAAATTAGGCACTTCTCAGATTGGCTGAGTGAATTCTGAACCCAGTGACAAGGCAGAGATCAAATTACACAACAGTTGAATATTTCTTACCTTGCCACAGATTTAGAAACTGGAGTGCTCGGTATTTGTTCTTGCATCTCAAGTGCACCCTATAATCTCTAGTACAGGACTGAACTCTATTTATGGTTCAGAAATCACGGTGCAAAATTAATGGAAGAGTTTGTAAGTTCCAAGAAATGAATCCTTCCCCTTTTTTTAACTTTCCAAGTAACCACTACTATAAATGACCAAAAACCTCAAAGCACTTCTAGATGGTACATACCAATCCTAAAACTGTCAGAATAAAGCCACATTCACTTGAAGAAAGACGGAAAGGTTTCCAATCTCGGAGAATTTAGAGTGGCAACGCATCAAAGTCTCAGACTACCGGACCGCTGGCAACAAGACAAATGAATGATTCCTGTCCCCTGGACGCCCGAGGCCTCCCCCATCTCGGATCCTCGCAGGTGACCCGCACCGAATTTCGGTCTCAGGTGGCGGTCTCCCACCCTCCCAGTTCCGGGATCCTCTGTCCTGTGATACTGCGCACGAGTACGTTTAGGAATCTCAAAGCAGGATCTGAATTAACCTCAGGAAACAAAGACCACAAACTCTCAGAGCGTCGGGGGTTGGCGGGGTATTGCTCTTTCCCTCGGAGGTTGCCTGGGTAAGGAGAAGTAGCTGCCAGGGGACTCAGAAAAGTCACGTTTGCTCCGAGGAGAGGCGGCAGTCGAGGCCCGGGCACCCTTGCCCGCCGCGTCTCCTCCCGCCCGGGGGGCTCTGACTGCGGCCCAGACGCGCGGACCCTCCCGCCGCCCACCCGCCTTGGGCGGGGGCGGCCCCGAACCTACCCTGCTCCACGGTGCTGCCTCCAGGCGCAGTGGGCGAGCCCAGCGGACTTGCGCTTCCTCCTTCCCGGCAGGGCCGCCGGGCGCCGGCGTTTCCTCCCTGACGCGTCACGGCTCCTCCCGCGGAACGGG